GAGGCCCCTAAGCTGACCCCCGAACGTTCGGGCGTTCGGGTCCCCGTACGGGGCCCAAACTCGAAGGGGTTCGGACCCCGCAAAAAAATATTTCGGTACATAAACTTTGTTTTTGTGAGTTCTTTGTAGTGTAAGCTACATGTCTCTCAATTTTAAAGTCATTCTGTAGAGCCAAAAAATAATGAAAAATCGGCAAAGATGGTGGTGTCAAAACATGCTTTCCCACTTACTAATTTGTTTTTTTTCTCATTTCACTTTTTGTTTTCCCTTTATTTCGGAGCCTGAAAAAAAATATTATTTTTCTAAACTTTATTAGTAGGTTCTCTATGATGTAAGACACAGATGTATAAAATTTCATGACATTTGACAAAGCCAAAAAAAAATGAAAAATCGCCAAAGATTGCAGTGTCAAGAATTTGCTCGCCCACGCAATAATTTAATTATCATTTTATTTTTTCTTATTTTCATTAATATTATTTATTTTTCGTATTTGATTTTTATTTCAAATTTGCTAAGAAATTTGGATGTACTGTTGAGGCATCTGTTGTTTAGTTTATTCTTTCGTATGACATAGTTGTTTTTTAGAATTTTTGAAAACGTTTTTTTTTTTTTTTTTTTTTTTTTTTTCCCCGTTTGGCCGAACATCCGAACGAGTTGAGAGGGGTTCCCAAACGTTTGGGCATTCGGGTTCGGGTGTTCGGCCCGTCCCGAACACCGACAATCCTATATATATATATATGTATATATATCGTCACAAACAAAACTGTCCGGTAAACCGTAGGCAGAGAGAGAGAAGAGGACAACAAACGAGGGGCTGTGACAAACTCTTTCGTCGGAGTTTCACCGACTCATCAGGAGGCTGAACCCTCAACAGTCTGCAGAATCCCTCACTGATTACAGTGTAAATGATAATCTACCTTAACCAAAATCAAAGTAGACTATCACTCACCCGCACCAAATTGAAAACTCTACAGACTGTCGGTTCACACCCCATCATATTTTTATATCTGGTAATGAATTCCGCATAACCTTGAGACAAAAGTTGGTCAAATAAAAAAAAAATAGTGTTTTTTTTTCCATATATATATTTTTTTGTTGGGACCTTCCTTGTTTTTTGCACGACCGGATCGCCCGGGAAAATAGGGTGACATAGGTGGCCCGACCGGTAACCTAGATACAATACGTATTACATTTTTTAAAAGAGGAATTATTTAATTGACATGAAGTTATCGAAGTCAACTCTTTAAAAAAAAAAATCATATTGACTTATATTTCCCCTACCTTACTGTAACATCTAATCAATGAATCAACGAATAAATCAATCAAAGATAGAATCAAATAATAAATTATTCAATTATAAAAAATAATTTTTCAATAAAATCGTGCAACGTCATTCAATAATTGATTGATTCCTATATTGATTGATTGGTTGATTGATTGATTGGTTGATTGATTGATTGCCTGGTTGATTGATTGATTGGTCGATTCATTGATTAATTCATTGATAGATGGATGACGCTCTACTTCGCTAACACGAAAACGCAAGCCAAAGGAAAAACAAAAAATCAGAGATAATAACACTCACGTTCCCTTAGTAGTGGCATTATATATTTAGAAAAGTGTGAGAGGACACTCGCCGATGGCTTTGTCCGACATCATAGATATCGTAGTTGTGATATTTTTTTTATTTTTGTTTATCCAAATTTTTTATCATATCGATCATATTTGAAATCTCACCAACGGGTGATAATTTTGCCCCGAGACGGACAATACGAGAATATAAAAAAGTGGCCTGCGTTATTGAAAGTTACCACAGTGAGCGATATAGTGGTGGTTAAATAATGAATAAGTTTATTAGGTTGTTGTTCTCGAAGAGAACTATGCAAATTAATAAACATACATAAAAAATAGATAAATAAAACGATTAGTATTTACCTTACCTTACAATAACAATCAAGCAATGAAACACCTACTCAATTAATCAATCAATCAACAAATAAATTAATCACTCAATCGGTCAATAAATAAATTAATAAATTCGATAATTCAATGAAGTAGTGACACATGATTGATTGATTAACCGACTGATTGATTGATTGATTGATTGATGTAAAACTTCGATCGGAGAGCGAGGATCGAGGAGGGCGAGAAGGCTCGGAGGACGGAGCTGAGATGGTCGCTGAGGGGTGAGGGGGAGATACACTGAGGGAACGACAAATAATAAAAAAAATTGTTGAGAGAGGGAAAAATAATATCGGATCTTGGGGCGAGTGTGGACGGGGTGGGGCAGCATGAGGCGGGTAGCAAAGGTTAGCAACGTGCATAAGATAAAAGCGGGAGAAAAAATGGAGGAATTGATAAAAGATTGGGGGAGGGTTGTCTGGTGGTAGGCATGAAATAATAATAATAATGGAAGAGGAAGGGTCGAGGAAGGAGCAAGAGAGAAAAAATTTTGTTACGATTATAGTGGGTCGGGGGGTGTGGAAGCAGGGCGGGGAGGGGGGGAACTTGGGAGAGGTTTTGCTATGACATAATGTCATCCGGAAATAACGGTGAAGCAAAAAATATTTTTTTGTAATTTTTTTTCTCATCATAAATCCGTTGTAGGAGAAGGATGACGGAGAAAAGGGGGGGGTGACAAACTCGACAGACAAACAGTCAATTAATCAGTCATTCTTCCAATCAATCAATCGATAATGATCCATAAAATAAATTGAATCGATCAAACATTTATTGAATCAATTAAATCGATTCAATTTAATCAATACATATTGATCGATTCGATCCATTGAAATAATATTCATCGATTGATTGATCGAAAAAAAAAACAAAAAAAAAAAAAACAAAGAGCATGGGCAGGGGAGGGTCGGGAAAGGGCGGGGATGGACTGATGAGGCTTAACGACATTTGGCCGACGGTCAGGGAGAGTTAACTGAGAATCGACGAAAATAGTTTATCCGTTCTCTCTCTCTCCCCCGCTCTCCCTCTCTCTCAATCTGTCTTGCGGGTGAAATGACAGATGTCGAATCATCAATCAATGTATCGAAGTTTTCTTCACTATACAACGCTACGAAAGGTTGATACTTTATGTAATTTGCAACCTTTTAACACGACGCTACGAAAGGTCGATACTTTATGTAATTCGCAGTCCCTGTATTCACTAAGCGTGCATGAGTTCGGTCGAAGCGACGAGACTTGTAGAGTTTCAAGCATGAGTGGTTAATAGGGACCCCCAGTTTCAGACCCTAGGTAACGAGTCCAAAATTCAAATTAGGGTTTGGGGGTCAAATTATATAGTTTTTTTTTTGCATGTTTTTATGTTTGTTAAATGTTGTTGTGTGCCAAATTTAATGTCGTTTGGAGCATTAGAGTTTTATTTCTTAAGATTTATTAAATTTCTCAAAATTTTTAAAATTGAAATGTTGACGGAATTTCATGAAAGTGCCATTTTGCCTTGCCGTTTAATATGTTTTTTTTTTTTTTTTTTTTTTTTTTTTTTTTTTTTTTTTTTTTTTTTTTTTTTTTTTTTTTTTTTTTTTTCGTTTTTTTTTTCTTCTGCAGTTAGTTAGTATGGTATCCACACTATAAATTGATAACAAATTTGGTTAAAATGACCTTTTTTTATTTTTTTTTATTTTTTATAATGGCATGACAAATGATATGAAAATCATCGTCTCTGTTAACCTACTCTCGTTCCGAGTGAAATATGATTCATCGATCAAACAATTTGATCAAATAATTGATCGATAAATCAATCAATTAATCAATCAACTTATCAATCAACCAATCAATCAATCAATCTATCAATCAACTTATCAATCAATCAATCAACTTATCAATCAATCAATCAATCAATCAATCAATCAATCAATCAATCAATCAATCAATCGACCTATAAATCAGTCAATGAATGAATGAATGAATCAATCAGTTGAATGATCTAATGTTATATTGGTTAATTGATTGATTGATTGATTTATAGGTCGATTGATTGATTGATTGATTAATTGATTGATTGATTGATCGATTGATTGATTGATCGATTGATTAATTGATCGATTGGTTGGTTGATTAATCAGTTAATCGAAGGAGAAAAAAAGTCAATAAAAAAAATGAAGGAAAATATGGAAAAAAAACTATTACGAATCCACTTCCGCCACATACATTCAATATTCACCTCAACCTGTGTAGCAAACACGGATATCGACAATGCATTTTTTTCAACGCACGAGAAAAAACTGCATGGGGGTCAGCCCAAGGATCCATGGCGGGGACGCTGGGAGACAACTATCACCATGCAACCTTTTTATGCCTTCATACACGTAAGTAGCAGCAAGGCGTGAGATCGATCGCCATTGTCGTGAACGTTCTACCTAAGCGTACATGTGCGAGGAGTCGACACGCGAGGAACCGAATGACCGTTGGAAATCGTCGTCTGCACGGTGACCCAGTGCGCGTGCTCCGTACTGATTGCCAGTACCGTTGTACGAAAACACCTTCCTGTTTCTTTTTTGCTTTTCCCTTTGTCAACTGGTAGCGTCCGTACAATTTAGGTGCCCGCCCTATTGGATTAGGTCCAAACACCTCACCAGGATTTCGATGTCGGCCAAAGAGTTGCGGTGCCGCTCAGGCCTGAACGGCTAGAGCCCCCCCCACCGCCAAGGCGCATGCCAAGCCCTGCGGGACTCTGAAAAAATAGATGAGAAAGGTACTGGTGGCTGTGAGAGGTAGCTATGCTTGCAGGGCTCCCCTGTATAGCTTAGGAGTAGTGGTAGGTAGATCGCGAAAGGTGAAATTGAGGGAAGAATATAGCTTAGTTTATGAAAAAAGAAAAGAAAAGAAAGTTCCCATCGCTGGCCTCCAGGACAGAAGCACGGCTTGCTCCGAATACTCTGCCGGGCCTGCCCCCTGGAGGGTGCCCTGAGGTTACCTTGAATCCTGCGCCCGCTGGTCCCTAGAGCACGGCTCGTTCGGGAAGCGTGGGCGGGATGACCCTGGACTCCTGGCCCCTGTCCCCCCCTCTTCCACAGGCCGAAATTCTCCGGACCCGCGCGGAACATTTTGTACAGCAGCTGCGACCCAGCACATAAGAGCATTCCACTCGGACCATAGCCTTCTCTCTCGCAAGCTCGAAACGCACTCGGCACTTGGCGTTCTCCGTAGTTGGCGTGGCCTTTCGCGTTCAGATCATCCAGCAAAGATGTCGACCAGCGAGTTAGCTTGCACGTATGCCGCACTCATCCTGCACGACGATGGAATCCCCATCACTGTATCCTTTTTTGAAGTGCCGTAATTGTTCTGCCGCCATCGCGTCGTCAAGCACACTTTCACGAACCCTAACTCTGCTATCATCTGAGAAGCTGCCAATCGGGAATGTAGGGACAGTAAACGGTTTTGTTCTCGGGTAGCGGCACAGCCTACTTTCACGAACCCTAATCATGCCAACGTGAGAATCTGCTAGTCTTGAATGTTGGGACAACAAGCAGGTTCGTTCTTGGCTTGCGGCAGGGCGGCAAGGCAGCAAGGCGGCGGGTTTGCTGAGCACCTTGTTGTTCCCATGAACGATCATTACCTCGGGGCTGAATCGGGGGGCCATCGGGGAAAGCAAGACGGGAGGGATAACGGCAGTTGCCGAATTGCTATGAACGGGAGGGGACGCTGGCTGCTTCTGATTCGATTATGGGCTGTGATAGAAGCGTCGGTTGGGGAAAGGAGTTGTCTTTGAAGAGAAGGAGAAGTATGACGGGATCTCAAGATTGCGTCTCGTGGGGCCTAGTGAGGGGATGAGAGCATCTGATTGCATGAGGTAGTGTGAGAGAGTGGGATGACCTGGAGAATTTGAGTGGTAAGGTGAAGATGTTAGCGGGTAATGAGATGGAGCAGAGGCGAGAAGACGCGGTTGTTTCATTGCGGAAGAGGGGACGTGGGTGGGGGACCGCGGCATTGAGTGGAGGGGCGAAAGAGTTATAATGGGAACAAAGAGATGAGAATGGGAGAGGGAGTGAGACGAGAGTGGAGTCTCTGGAGCGGAGGTAGAAGTGGAGAGAATGAAAACGAACGATAAGGCCCTCTGTGAAGTAAGGCATGCGCTGGGGACGTGGGCGCGTTCCATTCTAGGCGAGGTTGAGAATTTCAGACCCTTTACTTCACAGAGGGCCGAAAGTGTTCGAATGGGAACAAGAAGACGAGAATGGAAAAATATGTGAGCGGAAGGGGCGGGACTTCTCGAGCGGAATATGAGGTAGAGAGATTATGGAAATGAGTAAGGCCGTGTGTGTTGGGGGTAACCAGGTCTTGGAGCAATTGATCTCAAGCATCCGACGGTCATTATAACTCTGGTAATCGTCATGCAGTGGAGAAGAAGCTTCGACAGTTGATTGAAACGTGGCTACATTTCTAGTGAATATGTAGAACAAGAAATGAACTGCAGGTTCAGAATTTCAGACCCTTTAAATCCCACCGCATATGATGGCTTTTTCAGGCGTAATGTAATGAATGAAATTTTATTTAGGTAGCAGAACAAGGGTGGGAAGTGTGGAGGGAAGGGGAGTCAGGGTAGAGCATGGGAAAATAACAAATGAGCAAAGTGTCCATGACAGGGTTGGACGGGGTGTCTGTGGTAGGGGGATCCTGGAAAAGTTTTTTGTCGTATTTCTTTTTATTCCTTAATTCGTTCGCAGGCAGATAAAATCACCACCTTGGTGAAGTCCGCCGGTGTGAAGGTTGAGGGCTACTGGCCTGCTCTGTTTACCAAGCTGTTCGAGAAGAGAAGCCTAGACAGCCTCCTCGTGAACGCGGGCTCTGGTAAGTCGTCGCTAAGTTGATGGGGGTCGGAAGAGATTACGGATATGCAGATGGGGGCTGGAAGGGAGTGGCGGTGGCTTTTTTGTTAATATCGAAAATCACTGATGAAATGCTTGCTGAAGTTCTGCAATTGCCGTTTCGTTTTCTTTTTGGTGATTTCCATGTTGGATTCGAATGGAAGTTAATCAATCTGGCTGTTTCTTGTTGTCTCTAAAAGCTATTCGGCATTTTGTTATTGTTATTCATTTGCAGGTGGTGCCGCTGCGCCAATGGTCAGTGGTGGCGGTGGTGGTGGCGGAGGTGCTGCCGCCGCGGCTCCTGCGGAGGACAAGGTTGAGGAAAAGGTAAGAGCGAAGTTTCACCTTATTCTAGGGTTATCTGTATGTGTTCGCTGTGGGGTTGGACTCATAATCCTGTGCAAGTAAACCTGTGAGGGTAAACCTGTGAGGGTATATAATGTGTGCAACCTCAATCATCAATGATTGGTGGTGGTTGGAATAACGGACTGCAGAGTTGACAAATTTTCTAGTATCAGTACACGTTCTAGGGTTTTGTCGGCGACTAAAAGGTACGACTTGTCCGTTGGCTGTCTGATCTGGTGGCGAGGGTTGAAATGAGATCTGGGATGGAGTCGTTCGATGGTGGCCGTTGATCTTATCTCAGATCGTGGGACGTGGCTTGTCTCTGGTTGCGCGTGATCGTCGGTGTATGTTTGCTGTACGGAGGTCTCGTCTCGATTTGTAGGGATTGGCCGGTCGTGTTTTCGTTGACGGTGTGATTTTGTTGCACGATGGTTTCTTAGTTATCGACGATAGCATAAGTTGATTGATTGGTTTGTCGAAGTGATGTTTTTAAATTGGGATCTCTTCATTTGTTTCGGCGGAGTAAATGACATTCCGGAGATGTTCTAGATTTATCCTCGTTGGGGCGGTCTGCTTTGTTGGGGCTGTCTGCATTCAAAAGGGTTGTAAATTGTCTGGTATGGTTCTGTTTCGGAATCGGATGGCTGTTGTGTGGCGCTTCAGCTTACTACAGATATAGAGGTCCGTCGGTACCTGTAAAGATCAGATGGGCAGGGGGCTCGGCGAATGAGAAATATGATAGTAGTTGTGGTGGTTGCGAGTGGACAGAAACCATCGTCTTCACACCAATAGAACGCCCCGTCATTATAGCCGTATTCGGTGCATTTTTCAGTCCAGATACAGCTATAATAATTGGGCCTTCTATTTGGGTGAAGACGTTAGTAGTATGTGGACAGAAACCATTATGTGGACAGAAACCAGTAGTATGGTGTTTGTTTTTTGTAGGATGCTATTGGGCTTTGATTGCCTGTGCATAACAATCGGGCTTTTTTTGACTGCCTTGATATGGAAGTCATGGGGTCATGCTAAAGAGCAAAGCTTCCTTTCTTCACTTAACTGGAGGTCTTGTGGACGGGGGTTCTCTGGACTTCAATAATTTCTTTTTGCTCCACTTTCCTTCCGCTATAGTGTGATTTTACCCCATCGAACATTTGACTTTGACGTTCCTGGCCGCAATTTCGCCGTTTTTGGAACTGAAATCGTCAGCTCCTACTGACGGTAACCCGAAAGCCCGATGTTGTAATTTCGGTTTGAAAATTTTGCCGAAATTGCGGGGCCAGAAACGTGGATGTTGAATGCCCAAAGGGATATTTATCTGATCCGGTTTGAGTTGTTTTGCTCTGCATGTGACTTGTTATCTCGTGAAGTAGTGTACTGCAATTTGTGAGGCAATGATCTCGTTCTCTTGCCTTGGTTAATACGAAGATGTCGGTTGTCTGACCTGTCTGATCCGATTTGAGTGTTTGTTCGCTCTGCATGTGAAATATTATTTCTTGCGGCAGTCTACCGCAAGTTGTGAGGTAACGATCTCGTTTTCTTGCCCTGGTTAATATGAAGACGTCGGTCGTCTGACCTGTCTCTCTCTCTCTCTGTCTCTGTCTTCCGTTGTGTCGTGATTTTGCAGAAGGAAGAGGAGCCGGAAGAGGAGGAAGACGACGACATGGGTTTCAGTCTGTTCGACTAAAATGCTGCTTTTTGTTGACCCTTTTTTCTGGGCGGATGGCGGCCATTACCGCATCGTGTAGTGTCGTCAGAACGTCTTCCGTTTCTGTTCTGGATTGCTTTCTCGTTTTCTTCTCTGTGGGCGATTCTGAGTTCGGCGCGTCTGTTGTTGGAGGGTTTAGTTCGCCCGCCCGGTTCTCCGGCCGCCGCGAGTTGTGATATAATGGGAGCCACAGCTGCAGGCGCGCTGTTCTTATCGCGGTCCCTGTCAGGGTTTCATTAGCCGATTGAAAGGGAGAGTGGTCGTGTTTCTTTCCAGCGACGCATTAGGGTTCTCGAGTCGCCGAGAGGTGTGATACTCTGGAAGCAGCTTCAGGCGCGCTGTTCTTGTGGCGGTCTGTTGCGATTTCTTGAGCCGATTGAGTATTCTCTAGTGGTGTTGTGTTCTCTCAAGTGATGTAATCGGATGAGTACTGGCATCTCCGTATTCACACGGAATGCGAGTGTTCTTAAAGATGTAACGAAAGATTGGTGACCTGCTGAGTTTCCAATTCAGAGCAATTTTGAGAGGTGTTTTTTTTTTCTTGTTTGACCAAATCCTGTTTTATTTCCACACAATTATTTCTGGTTCTATTCACTGGTTGTTAGCGTTTGTATTTCATGCTGCTCTCGAAACAAATTCCAATTCTTCTAGAGGTCTGTTATTGTGTTGTGTATGGAATGCATGCTGCTGTTATGGTGTTGTGTATGGAATGCATGTCGCTGTTATGGTGTTGTGTACGGAATGCATGCTGCTGTTATGGTGATGTGTATGGAATGCATGCGGCTGTTATGGTGTTGTGTATGGAATGCATGCTGCTCTGGAAACAAATTGGACTTCTTGGTGCTTCTTACTTCCCCCAAGACCTTCCGGATTTTGCTGCATCTACTTGCGCCCCCCTTTATGAGAACGATCTGCACGTCGTTCTCTCTCGATGAAATACCCACGACAGATTGCGGATACGGCGTCCTGTGACTGAGGTCCGCCGTAATGTTTCACCAGTCGTCGTTCTGTGTGTGTCAAAGATACTCCCTGGCCTCGTGGTTTCGCCGCGGCTATCTGTTTTCTGTCCCGGGGTCCTTGAATCCCTAGGTTTTCCACGGTATTCCCTTTATGTTGTGCAACTGCGGTTTGTTCTCTTGTCCTGGGGGTCTGTTCCTGGAAGTTTCGGTTTCAACGATGCTCCGTCCATGGGATGATGCTGAGGCGGCCGTTGTCTCCATTCTGGAGTATGTTCTTTGAATCTTAGGTGTCGAGTGATGTCGATATGGAGATCACTCACAGTCGGCGAAAGATGTGGCTCTGCATGCGGCTGCGTGTTGATTTCGGTCTGCTGCGCTGATCAGCTGGGTACATGCATAGAGGGGAGAATATCTATAGGTTGGAGTCGTCCCGAATAGAACCAAACCCCGGTCTTTTACGAGCTGCGGTGTGGGGGAGGGCTATAAGATAAGGTTCATTGATCCATCTGAGTGTCGCAGGCTGTAGGGAAAGTCTTCGATTGACTGAATTGTCACTGGGGAATTTCAGAACGGTCTGTCGATCTTACAACTAAGAATGGACGACTCCTTCAGTTGATGTGTGTCGCGGAGATTTGTTCTTGATCGAATGTGTGGACCCGCGATCGGCACGCGAGAGAGTTGTTGGTGTTGACGAAAGATGTGGCGCTGCATGTGGCTTGCAATAGGCGCTGTCTAGTTGTGTGTGATGATTGTACCTGCTTTGTGCTCACTAGAGCTTTCGCCGATCTTTTGGATTTATCGTGCATGATAGTCGTGCGTTCGTCTTTTCCCCTCTCCCGCAAGAGTCGCTAAATGAACTTGGCAATGTTTGCACTTGCTGTGGTTCTTGCTCGCGTTGGTGGAAGAATGTACTCCGACTACAATGGACTGCGGTGAGGTCGCGCAAATTCAAATATCCGAGTGTTTTTTCCCTAACCCGACTTCGCAGCGGACAATGGAAAAACGACGCCGTCTAATAGCACTGCTCCAGTGAAAGGTAGTGTATTCTCCATACCCAGTGTTGTAGTCGAAGAGCACTTTTGTGTGCGGATTCATAGAATCTGAAGGTCTGGCCATGGCGACGTTTTGGCCATGTAACTCTGATCCGCATTAGAACTGTTTTTTTAGGATTTCAAGAGATAAGAAATCTCGCGCGTAGGTGTCGAGAAAATCACACCCAAATCGTTGATGATGTTCTCGCAGGCCTGTCTAACTCCTTCCCCCGAATAGACCGCACGGTCGTTATAGCTGTATTTGGGATCTTTCAGTCTGAATACAGCTTGAATAACCGTGCGTCGTATGTGGGGGAAGAAGTCAGTATAACGTGTGCGTAGTGAAAACGTAGGCGCTCGATGGCATCTGGGCACACGCCAATTTTACTGGTCTTCTTGCTACATGGAACTGTTTCAATATCTAACCAGCTCAATCTCTAGGTCTGTCTGTTTCCGGGTCGAAAACGCTCGTGGCCTAGCAAGGTCAGCGGCTCGCCGACGTGATGCAGATCTTGAGACTTGACCCTGTCGACCAAATATGTGCACTGAGAATATAGTTTAGAGAGCTGTTGGGGACACACTCGGCAGAGGGAAAATATCGAATAAACAGCTTGGAGACACTGGCTTTTCTGGTGTTGTGTTAGATCCTGGCGTTGGTAAACTCGTTCAAAAAGCATCACGATCGCTGTCTACTTGCCTCTTGAGCAGTTCACGCAAATCTTCGTTCGTCCCTAAAATTGAAGACGTCACCAAACGGAATAAGAAAAGATGGTGGCCGTTTCACCCACATCAGGTGTACACATTTCTCTTGCTGTCTGTCGGAAGTCCGTTAGTTTTTGAATCGGTATTTGGCGTTTGATTCAAGCATTGGATGATGGTTCGAAGACTGCAGCCTTTCTTCAATGCGCACACAATACTAACGATCATAAAAATCTCCTCGTGTAACTACGGGTACATCAAAATCTAGCCCTTTTTTAACCTCTTGTGGATTTAGGCCAGGACGTAGTTGTCAACAAGATGCCATGGAAGTAGCGAAATAATAGATGTGTTGTGTGCGTTCTGCTTCATGAGGTGTCATGGTTGAGGAGACGAAGGTAATCAAAACATTAATGAGAAGTTGGTAGCAGGAAACGGTATGATGCTTTGCTTTATCGGGAGGATCCCTGGGTTTGGTTAACTGAAACCGGAGTCTCGAGCTTTCATCGGGACAGTCATGCAGTACGCAGGCATATAGAGGAACCGTTGGCTTCGTTTGAGCTCTCGACGATTGCACAAGGGATAAGAGTAGAAGAACGAAGCAATGAATAGGTCACGCATGGGTTGGAGGGGAAGGGCAGCTGTCGACGATAGAAAGGAGGAGAGCTCTCTGTGAATCGCCTACTCGCTGCGGATAGAATAAACTGTGGAGTTAAAAAGAGTGTACTCTACTTGCAACTGTGTTCGCTGATGTGATTGGTGATCAGGATGCAGGGCTGTAAAAGAGGTGAAAAACAGAAAGAAGCGACAAGTGAACAGGTGTACGCTACGTGCAACTGTGGATGATGTGATTGGTAATCGAGATGGCGGACATGAAAAAAGTGGAAAACAGAAAAAAAAAGAAGCCAGAAGTAAACGCGTTCCAAAGGCTTTATTGCAAGATAATTAAGCTCAGCTTCTATCTAGATCCCAGCAGCGGTCACACGCAGTGGCAAGAACAGTATTCGCGCTGCAAATAGACGACGTTTTTGCGTTCGTGCTATCCTCTCATCAGTTGCTGGTCTGGTTTGTCCACCCAGCCCAGATTTGCGCATCGAATTGGGCATCTGTGTATGCTCTGCAGTTCATATTCTTCCTCTTTTGTTCTTTTAACTAAAAGGTACATTCTTCTCTCAATTTCACCTCACGCTACCTACCTACCACTATTTTGTTTTCAGTTTTATTGTTTTAAAGGTCGCTCACAGGACACACCCCTACCTCATCTTTCTGCTTCCTTAGCGTAAGCCCTGCTTCCTCATCTACGGGGGCACTTGTTTACCACTTCTAATTGTAGGCACACGGGGAGCCACGTAGCAGCCAGAACCGTCTTCAGGAGAGAACATGCGGGGGCTGCTCTCGACCTGCAGGTGGGCGGTACCGGCTGCTGTCTTCCCACGAACACAACGCACCCACATTTTTACTGTATCGGGCCGGAAGCATATCTTGTATACGGTCATTTTCAGGGTTCGTTATGTTCGGGGAAAGACGGTAGTGGACAGCCGGTAGCATCAGGGACCGTGCTAACAGGACCAGTTCATATTCTTCGCGATCCTTGGGTCACCAAATTCCCTTTTTGTTTTTTTCAAATTTTAATATTCGCTCGGGCTCGCCGCTCCCTGGAGTGCAACGCAGACGCAACACTGGGAAAGGTCGAGCAACTAAAGCTTAAGCCACCAGTACCTCATAAAGTGCTCCACCACGTTAACGGCGAGCCAAAAGTGGAAATTGCGCCGTTTCCACTTAGCTGAATCTGGCCTACAAGCCCAGGCCCGTTCATCCCAAAAGCCATGCCCGTTAACGAGGAGCACTTTTAGGAGGTACTTGTGGTTTTTCTTTTCAGGAGACCCCTCAGAATTTCAAAATAATGAATCTAATCCGATGGCCAGGCAAAAAAAAAAGAAATATTGAACTGGTCAGGACAAAAACTAGGCGTTATTTTGCCCCTCCAGGCCAAGAAAGGTGTGGGGTCGCCATTTTTCTGTAGTCGTATAGGTCTAGGTCTCATTCCTTTATTGATGTCTGTCTCATTGCTGATGGTTTTTTTATTTATAAGAATTATGAACTGCTTGAAGAATGCTAAGCGAACACTATTCGAACGCTTTTTGTTGCAGTTGGAGAAGACAGGAGATGGAGCTAACGACAGAAAAGAGCAACACCGAACTGTCACCGTTTAGATGCAACAGAGCTCGTCATCGTCGGAATGATTCGGACCCTTTTTTGGTCAGCGGCCGGTCAAATTCGAAGGATGGTAGTCTATTGAAATTCTAGTTAGTCTGTGTGGGGGATGAGATCCATGTATTTGCCGTACTTGTTGTCCAAGTGCATCACTTTTGTATTCGTCAGTTTGGAACTGCTTTGCAGCGCTGTTCTTGCAATGGCGTCCAACGATCTTGGTGGCACGGAAGGACGTGGAAACGTTTTCAGGAAATGTTTTTTTTTATTTTATCCTCTCAGGAAATGTTGTAATGACAACTCGACGAAGGACAACATAGCACTTAAGTAAACGACATCCAATACGTCAATTATAGACAGGAGAAGGGAAAAGATATAGACCATAGAGGAAAGGAGAAGAGGGAAGACAGACCATTTTAGGAAAGGAGAAGGAAGTGAGACACGAGCCATGCGATGCAAGATTAAAAAGTAATCGTGTATTATTTAAAAAGTAATCGTGTATTATTATAAAGTAATTGTGTATTCTTCCGAATGTGACGGACTCACGTAGAAAAAGAAACCTTTGAAAATGCTAAGTCAGTCAAAACTACGGCGGCATGATCATACCGGTTTCGGCTTGGCGTGCCACCCAGCCTTCATGAGGGACCTTGTTGGTTGTCGGTGAAAAGCTGGCACTGAGACCGTTTTTATATTTGCAGGACTTTTTTAGAAAACACCGTGACCCTTTTTATCTTTGCAGGGCGATTGAGAGACGCTACGAGTGGTCCTTGGGGACATCCGTTAAAGTTGGAACGATACCGAAAAGGGTAATTAGCAAATAGCCCCTGCGCTTTCAAGGATGACAAGCGTAAATCGAGAAATGGTCAAAATTAAAAAAAGAAAAAGAATGCTACGAGTCAACTAAAGGGAACAGGTCACAAAGGCGTAACAGGAATTCTGTATCTATCCAAGAAACCGGTAGGAAAACAGAAATTTTCCATCTGCCACTGTAATATTTTGTTGTCGTTTTTTTTTTTCTTAATCTTTTTTTTTTTTTTTTTAACCACCTGTACCTTTGACGGTTCGAAAATACTCGGCCTCCGACCTTTCAGGAGGCCGAAACGAAACGACGGCCGCCGATCAGATTTATCAACGGCAGCCGATGTCGGTCCCGGCCTCCTGAAAGTTCGGGTACTGGCAAGTACCACGTCGAAAATAGGCTCGGAGGTATACTGGTGGTTTAATAACAATTGCTCCGATCTATGCATGGGGAACAGCACGTGCTGGGAACCGGGCCCAGCGTCTCTTATAATTGGAATACATTGATGATTAATGAAAATTTGGGATGATTCAGGAATATTCAGGATGATTGAGATGTAAGTTAGAGACTGATGCTGACTATACTTTTGAGAGAATCATCAATTCTGAAAAGCCGACCTCATTCATCTAGACGAGAAAACCGGAACCCGAGCCAAAACTCAGCCTAAAAACGTTCCGTATGTTATAGACCCAAGTTCGAAACTCACGAATACCAGTGCGTCCGCTTTGGTATCTTTGTGATTCTTTGAAATATTCCTCCACCGTACCACAGATTGAGGCCGACCTCATCATCATCATCATAAAACCAACAGAAGTCCGAAGCACAGTACCTCAAGCTATTCTACTTAGTGACCCTGAAGTATTTTACTCGACAAAAAGCAATGTGTCCATCACAGCGGGGAAAAGAGG